TTAATTTGCTTTCCAAATGAATACCCAGTTTTGCCAGCATCATTTACAAAAAGGATATTCTTTTCTCAGTTTAGTGGACTTTGGCCATTTGTTGTAGATCACCTAGACACTGATAGATTGATTTACTTCTTTGTTCTTAATTCTATTTGATTGGTCCATGTGTCTGTCTTTCTGCCACTATAAGGCATTTTTGATTACCATTGTAATCAAACAACATTGTTGATTACCATTGTTGTTTTAGTACTGGACTCTGGAACCGCAGATGTGTGGTTTTCTGTCATGTTTCCCTTTTCTAATAATGCTCTGCTTGTCTGAGATCTCTTTCCTTCCTGATCAGTTTTCCATTTTATTACATATTAAAGATTTTTGAGGTGGGCATTTGTATCAGAAGTGCATGATATCTACAGGCCACTTTGGGACGTAGTGACATTGCCAGGATATTCTTCCTCTTCGTGAACCAGGGCGTGTTTTGCCATTTATGTAGATCTCTCTTGCTTTCTTGTGGTAACATTTTGTAGCTTTGTACTTTACATTTTTTCCTGCTCTAATTATTTTATGTATAGGGTTACTATAAGTCAGAATCAACTTAAAGGCTGTGAGCTTGTGGTTTCCGTAGTTAGATTAATTCCTAAGTGTTTTGTCTTTGTGAGAGCTATTGTAAATGCTCCTGTTATCCTGATTTCCCTGTCAGTTATCTTTGATGGTGTAGAGGAATCCATTTGGCTTTTATGTGTTGATCTTGTTCCTACCATTTTGAATACTTCTGTTAGTTCTAATGGAGTCTCTGGGATTCTCTGTGTATACGATTATGTCATCTGTGAATAGGGACATTTTACTTTCTCTTTACAAATGCATGTGTTCTTCATTTCTGTTGTCAAGAAGGCTCTTTTGGAGCCTTAGGGTTAAAATTTCCGAACAATTTTGATATGTTTATGAATCAAGTTTTTTTAAAAAACAGTTAAGCCTGGTTTAGTGGTTTCTGTTTCCTGTTCAATTCCTATATGCATATACACATTTTGTAGGTTAAATTTTACTGTATTTCTGTTTTTCACAATTAAAAGTAAGAAGCAATTCAAACTGAAAGCAATATTGTATAAGTCACGGTAGCTGGTTTTCTTTCCTATGATGAGATTACAAGTATTTAAAAATTTTTTTACTTTATTTTAAAAATACTTTATTTTAAATTAGGTGAAAGTTTATAGAGCAGTGTACTAGTTTTACATTCAACAGTTCATACACATTTTTTTTCAATATATCCATTGCAATTCCCTCCCACTTCCTCTTTATGTTTCCTGTTCCATTGAACTTTGAGGTTGGGTAAATGTTGCCCTTTTGATCTTAAAAATGTGACTGTTCGAACACAGGTGAGTTCAGTTCCAGACCTGAAGGGTGACTAAGGTCCATTGTCTTGGGGGTTTCACTAGTCTTTGTCTGACCAATAAGCCTGGCCTCTTTCATGAATTTGAGTTGTGCTCCACATTTTTCTCCCACACTATGAAGATGTTCTAATAAATAATGTGAACCTTTCACGACATTTAGTAGTGGTAACTAGGCATCATCTCGTTCTTTTAGCCTTAGGGGTGTGAAGACTGATGTGTTAGTGGTCCATGAGTCAATTTTTGATTTTTTTCTTTTCAGAAAACAAGATTTTTTTTTAATCAAATGAATTTTAAATTTTTATTATTTTCAACAGTTTTATTGGTACATGGTTTACATATCCTATAATTGAATAGTTCAATTGTTCAATAATATCAAAGGGAATTGTACAATCACCACCACATGAATCTTAGAGCACCTCCCCCATGATTAAGTCACCTTTAAAATGAGTTGTGCGATCACAATCAGTTCTAGTGCTACCTCCCCCTCCCACCTTCATTATTTACTCCTGAAATGCTCTTTCCCTCCCTATAACTCATCTTCCATCCCTGCATTCCCTATAACCCCTGGTATCAGTTGTTATCATTATGCATCCACTCCTCCTGTGCTTCACCGCTGGGAAACTCAACACAAAACAATGAAAAAATAAGTTGCATGAAGGTGGTAAGGATAAGATCATATTAGTATAAAGACAAATACAAATAATGTGTAAGAACAACTAAGGGATACTTTCACTCAGTACAAATTCAATTCTTTTCTCTAAGGAGGTCACCTGGCCAACTGTCCAGTTCAGTCCAGCAAAATTAAGATTACAGTGGCCTCTGCCTAATGGTAAGGCTGTTCGAGATTCTTGCGTTTGACTGGAGGAATCTGCCAGTAGTTCGCTCTGACTAGATACTCTGCAGATGGGTTTTGGGCGCCCACTGTCTTCCTTAGCCCTCATATCAACACATTCTTAAGTTTTTGTAAAGGAATTTAGTAGAATGTAGGCATTACATATCAAGGGCATTATCAAAGGATCTCTGCACCACACCCTTGCCAGGTCTTTTATTTCCTGGGCTTCTCTTACCTATCACTATTGTACTATCCTTGTCATCAGTATTACATCTGTAAATATTATCTCACCAAACAATGCTAAAATTTTCCTTTTAAGAACCTATGTATTTTAGAGGAATTACAGAAGAAAATGACCTATTTTATTTACCCAGGTAGTTACTATTTCTGCTCTTCATTTATTCCTACAGTATTCCTTTGGTATAATTTCCCTTCAGCCAGAAGAACTTCCTTTAGCATGTCTTTTTTAGTCAGTTTGCTGGTGACAAATTATATTTTTTCCATTCATGTGAGAATAAAATTATTTCATTGTCATTCCTGGTATATCTTTTCACTAGATATGTGTTCTGAATTAATAGTTCTTTTGTTTCAGTCCATTAAAGATGCTGTTCATTGTCTTTTTTTGAGTCATTTTATTTGGAGCTTGTACAACTCTTATCACAATCCATCCATCCATTGTGTTAAGCACATT